CCCCCTCCCCCCTGCTACATTACGCCCCACCCCCCTTGCTCTGTCCACATGCTCCTGTACATACACATAGCACAACACCGACACAAACACAGCACAACCATCCCACGTCAGCGGGGCAAGCTAGTAAAAAAAAACAAGCATCAGCATGGCAAACCAATTTGCTCTCACGTGCGTATGCGTATGCGTATGCGTATAACAGCATCCGGCCCGCATCATCATCATCAGCAGCAGCAGCAGCAGCATGGAAAAGAGAGCTACGTAAGGAAAATAAAGACACCCGCTTTTTGTTATATCACACGATGTAAACGTGTCACACTCACATACATACATACATACTTGGATTCCCCCCCACGTTTTCGTCGCATAATGTGCAGAGACGAGCGTATGGTAGTGGTAATTGTAATTGTAGTTGTAATAATCGTAGTAGTAGTAGTAGTAGTAGTAGTAGTAGTAGTAGCGCGAAAAAAAAAATTGGCGGTGAAAGCCACGCGCGGGGATTTTTTTTTCTCCCGAGGCACCGGGCATGTAAGTACATATGTATGTGTATGTATGCCATGTGGCTCGAGGCGATGTTTGGTGCTGATTGATGTTTTAATGTTTATTGCTGATGCTGATGCTGATGCTGATGTCGATGTCGATGATTAACGTGTGTTTGCTTGATATGCTTGTTGCAAGTACAAGTACAGTAAGTTTTACATTTTGCTTTTCAGAGGCTTGGCTTCAAGGGGGAAGGGGGGGAAGGGGGGGGGTAATAGCATGCTTTGTAGATCGTAGTATAGACTTGCAGCTACCAAGTTTGTTACTGTATGCATGTGTACATGTAATATGTATGTGTATGTATGTATAGGTGCGTTGTGTACATGGCATAATGTGGCATAATATAATATAAGATGAGATAACGTGGTATGGTATGCATGTTGTGCGTAACTAGTTGTATATAACGTGGTATATAGCTGGATTTACTTAGACGTCCCCCCTCCCCCCTTTTTTTTCTTTTCTTTTTTCTAGTCCCCTTAGATGTTGAATGCTGATGCTTGCAATAGATAAGCTTCCATGGCAATTCACACCCACACACACAGAGTAGCATGTATTCGTATACATACAAAGTATAGTCTTGTCCCCCCTCATCATCGTCTCATACCCTATCCATCCATCCGTCATAACTCCCCCTCCTGTCTCACCCTCACCCTCACTCTTGCCCATCCAGTGCATATGCATCCATGTCCCCTCCCCCGCTGCGCCCCGCCCACCGTATCCCAGCCAAAACCCTTTAAACCCTCATAGCACCTCCTCATCAAAAGTCGTCGAACAGTACTAGGCCGAATACAGTTAGAGACTGTTCGATTTCTTATGATGAGGTGGTGATAGCAAAACGGGCTACGCTGCGGTGCGGTGCGGTGCGATGTGCGGTGCGCTACTCCCGCAACAGCAGCCGCATGCGCCGATCTCCCGATTGTTCCGAGATCGATATGTAATCGTCTATAGTATGTACTTGGATACAGCGACAGCCAACCGTGGGCTACGCGCGGGAATCGGGGCGTTGAAGCGCTGCATACCGGGGATGCGTAGACGGTGTGTGGGAAAAGAAAAAGCAAAGAAAAGGGGGAAGGGAGAAAGAAAAGGAGGCATGGAAACGAGGGAATTGTGAAAAGAGGAATAGTTGCGAGGGGCGCGAGTGGGGGGGGGGTAAGGGCAGATCATTTGGGGCAAAAAGGAATAGGTGGAGGATAGCTAGCATACATACACTCATACACTCACGCGTGTACGGTATGCGTTTCCCGTTTCTACAAACGGCTTTGCATTTGCTTTTTCTTCTTCTTCTGTAACGTGTGGGTGTGGCCCCGCTGTGTGGACGGTTTGGGTGGCTAGGTGGCTAGGTAGTATAGGGTAAAGTGCAAGTACATAGCTGGTAGACAAACGTTATGAGCATGTGCCGAGCCGAGCCCAGTCGAGTACGTACTTTGCTTTTTCCAGGTATACTTACTGTACACTTGTCACATTTTTTTTGCTTTTGCTTTTCTTTATCCCACTGCACGTCTCTCCTTCGCCCTTCTTTATCTATCGTCCTAGAGTATCCTCTGCATACACGTATGTACTTATATAACACTCGATAACGATAATATCAAAAAAAGAAAACTCAGAGTGGAATACCATGCATCGGCGTACCTCTCTCCGTACTCACTTACCCCCCTGTGCCTCGCCTCACCGACGGCAAACAAAAAACAACAGCCAGCAGAAGAGGAGAAAATCCCGCAATATTACTCAAGTCCAGACCCTTCTCAGCATACCCGTATGGAGGGATGTATCGAAAGTGTATGCAGCCAGTCAGCCACGCAGCCACGCAGCCCCCCTCCCACGATCCCTCCATCAGCACCACCACAGCACCACCACAGCACCACCACCACCACCACCATCAGCTTTGCACAGCCTCCCTCGCTTCTATACTTCTAGCAGCCCATGTTCCGCGCCAGCAAGCCAAACCAGCCGGGGAGGGGGGGGGCGCAATACAGCAAGCCGAAACAAGGTTTCGCCGAGCAAGCGCTTATCGCGATCAAGCGATCAAGCCTGGCTTGGCTTTTGGGGGGTGCGAGCGAGCGAGCGAGTGAGCTTGTGTGAGCTAAAACCCGCCCGTCTGTCAGTCTGTCTCCACTGTGCAGCTGTATGTAGTCCCCCTTGTTTGGGGTCTCCGGGTTGCCTTGTTGCGGTTTAGCGGGTTATCGGCGTGGTTGGGTTGGTTATGCATGTGTGTGGGCGTGGGGTCTGACTAAGAGACTAGGTGATCGACTTGACTAGCTAACGGACTGATTGAACTGCCAGACCACGGACTGGCTGGCTAGCTGGCTGAATGGCTACGCTGTGTGACTAAATGACTGAATGACTGACCGTTTGAGTACCCTAGACCTACGTATGTGTGAATGTGAGAGAAAGAGGGAGAGAGTGTGGGTGTGTGGCAGGGGAGATCCCTGGATGGCGAATGGAGAAACTGGCCGGTACATGTATGCATGGACATGGATGCTTGCGGTTGGGGGGGGGGGGGGGGAAACGGTGCATGATGCATAAAGGGCTGGCGCGTAGTAGTCCAGTGCGAGTAGTATGTAATGTGATGTCTTTTCTGTACTACTATTGTATGTCTTCATGCGTTGGGCTGGTGGGTGGGATGCTGAACTTCATGAATGGATGCATGGCTTGGTCTTGTGAGACTGGCTTGTTGTTGGGCACACACCGGACACGCGTATTTACACTTACGTTACCGATTTATCCCTTCCAGGCTGATTGGTTGGCGCTGGGATACAAGATCAACACGTGAAGGGCTTGGATCGGGAAATGATGGTAATATCATGGTGACTACGCTACAGTATGAAGAGTTAGCAATCAAGTTTGATGCGGCAAAAACAGAGTTTATCCACTTTACCGCTAAGAAGAAGAGAAAAGAAACAGCCCTTAGGCTACCAAATAACACTATAGTGGAGCCAAAAGACACAGTAAAATGGCTAGGCATCTACCTCGACAACCGGCTATCCTTTAGAGAACACATAGCAGTGCGTGCCAGCCAAGCCAAAGCCGCCTTCCAGAGGATAGGGAGACTAGCAAATATAGAGACAGGCCTCTCTCCCTACGCCATTAGGCAGCTCTACTTAGCGTGCGTTACTAGCGTTGCAGACTACGGAGCACCAGTATACTGGCACTCACAAAGCTACGCACAAAGCTACTCCAACCACTCCACAATCTCGCGTGTAGAAAGGTGCTAGGAGTCTTTAGAACCGCTCCATCAATACCTGCAAGTGTTGAAGCAAGCCTACTATCACCAGCAATACGGCTAAACGCTACGCTAAGAAACTACGCAACAAGAGCAGCTCAGCTAGCTAAACCCACCCAATCGCAATAGCTATTGCTAGGCTTCAAGCAACAGACCCC